ATACATTAAGCCGTTCCATATTGGCCTCATCATATTATATCAGAATTGAGAGGACTTCCTGATGTTAAGTAAAGAATTGCATCCATGAAATCAGTATGCAAAAAATTGAATCAGAAAAGAAGGAAAATATTTCACATAAGGGCTCTATGCCTGCCTGATAGTTGGCACAGTGTGAGTGCTCACTCAACAAATAGTTGTTGAATGACCTAATACGTTTTCTAAAAACTAATCATTAATCCCTGATAAATAAGAAAAACTAAAGGCCTAAGAGAATGTCTGGAAATATAGTGGGTCTGCTTAAGTTGCTGGAGAGGATTGTTAGTTACTATAGACGTATATACTTTAGAGTCAGGGAGAAAATGTCCATTTGAATTTTTATTTTAGGATTTTATCATTCCATAATAAGACACTGATATTTCTTGGATTAGAGTAGAATAATGTATTGTGGTGACATAGCAACCCAGTTCCTTTAAATAGAGGTAATTTCTGGGCGTTTTGATCCTGCCCATCTAATTTGGAGAAGGGTCTGATGGATGGAATGGCCTCGCATAGATGTTTCAGCCTGGACGTCGTCCAGTCCGGCCACCAGCACGCTCAGTCCCGGTGGGAGTTTGGGGGAACTCTCTGAGCTACTAATAAAGTGTCTCTTGGCTTCCCCTGTGGCTGTTCCATTTTTATACAGGTCTTCAATAAGGATTTCCTAACATATAAGCGAGTGAGTGGGAAGATTCAGTCAGGACATTTCTGAGACCCTGACAATGACCTTTCATAATTTCGAGAACCACTCTAACCCTAACGTGTGCTGACTGTTTAAGTTCCAGGCACTTTGCTAACATTGTTCAAGACCATTCTAGGAAGCAGATTCTTTTGTTTTCTCCTCATTTTACAGATGAGGAAACTGCACCCTAGCAAGTGTGAACTTGTCTGAGATCACACAGTCAATGTGTGATCTAGGTCACTAGGCTCTAGGTCACTGACCTTTATATGTGTCTGATTTTGAAATTTTTAAAGTTCAGGACAAAAAGGAAAGGAGGAGACAAAAGCAACTTATTAATACCATCAGGTAACTGTCATTTTATAGGAACAACTATTTTAACAGTTTTCACATGAGCCACATCGTTATGGGTTTGTTCTGGAAGGAATTCTAAGGCAATTTAAGTGTAGTAAAAATATCAGGTAAAAACCTGGATGATGAAGAGTGCTCTCACACAAAAGATGAGAACTGCAGCAGCAACTACCCTGATATGCAAAGCACTTCTCTGGGTAGTCGGCTTATAGTTTTACGTCTCCTCCTCAGATAAATAGCTCTAATATTTCATTATTTAAAACACTCAGCTGTGCTTACATGTAATTGGGATGGCCATATTACCTTCCAACTTGCCCAATTACTATGGCAAAGTCACTTTGGAAGTTTCACATCTTAAGGGTGATCCAGACTGCTGTTGACCTCCAAAAACTGTTGGATGCCCTGTATGCAACAGAGTAGTTTTGAATGTTGACATAGATGGACAGGGACCCTGCAAGGCTGCTGCTGTTGCCTTCAGGCCTTCCTGTTCTTCCAGGTAGCCTTTTCAGCAATACATGCTATTCTTCCAAGGCCCATGTATAATGCCAGCCCTACTGATTCTGCCCCCCAGCGTTTTAATCTCCCTCCTCTCCGCACCTGGCATCAGGAAGCTGGCTGTTACTACTGCACCCGCCCCCCTTCCGAACGCTCCTTCTGTGATTCCATTTGTCTTCTGTGGAAATCCAAATGCGTGCATGGAAACCCCTTCAGGACCTGGCAGCTGCCTGCCTCTCCGCCTCATCTCTTGCTGCTCCCCTGCTCGCACTATAGGTGCCAGCCTTAATGAACCACCTGTAATTTTTCAGCAACTTCAAGGTAAGCAGGCTTTTAGGACTGCACACCTGTCTGCTTTACATGAAATGCCCTTCACATTTTCTTTCTCCCCTTCAGCATGAGTCCTTGAGGGCAGAGTCAGCCCTTTACCCCCCGTCTTAGTTCCTGACATAGCCTAAATGGCTGCTGAGTGAATGCTGCTGGATGAGTGAGTGGAAATGAACCTAATCCTCTTCATCACTTTGCATTGTTGTCTCCATAGTTCCAGTGCAGATTAACTGGTTCCCTTCCTTCCCCCACTCCTCCCTTTCTCTTTTCAGCATTCCTACATATATCTGACTCGGAATCTATCCGAAATACAGCTCTGCCCTGGTCAGATACTTTTCCTAGCTTACCATTTGTTTCCTGCAGAATCCACTTCCTGCTCAGTATCTCCCTCTAGTGGTCAGTCTTCAGCCAGCCTTTCCAGCTGCATTTCCCCTGTTCCTCCTTACCCACCTCTAGACTCGAACCTTCTTTCTTTGGTCACACACCACAGCATACCATTTCCGTGGTTTTGTTTATGCCATACCCTCATCCAGGTGTTCCCTTGCCCCACTCCCTGTTTACTGAATTAATAGAGTGCCCCCTATCGCAGTCAGAATTAATCCTCCAATCTGTAACTTTCTATACCACTTGGATTTTTTCCTCCATTATAATATAGATCACATTCTGCTTTGTGTGATAGATAGCCTTTGGTTTTGGTTTCATTTTTGCATATCTGTTCTAACAAGTTCCAAATTCCTTGAGGTGAAAGCTGAATCAGTTCAACCTGAGAGCCACAGGCCAGCTCGCTTGGTGCTGCTCAGTGTGGACAGAGCATGTGCTTGACTCAGGCAGAGCTTGGTTTGAATCTCTGTTATGCCACAAAATACTGTGTGACCTCTTCCATTTCTTTCTCCCAGTTCCCCAGATTGTAAAAGGAAGATAATACCAAATTTGCAACATTATTATGCAGGTTGAATAAAACAATGTATGTAAAGCATTTAGCTTAATGCAGTGGCCCATGGCAGAAATGCAACAAATGGTCATTGTTATTCCTGTTGTTACTGGTACTGTACTCATAGTAGGGACTCGCTACTGGGGAAGGATACTGTTTTGTTGGCCTGAGCTCTTAGTATTAATGATCTTCATTTAACGGTATGGCTAATTTCTAGCTGTATATAACTGAAGCTAGAAATTACCCATTAGCTTTGCTTTTAAATATAAATCTTTTTTTAATAGCTTATGATCTTTTATTATTCTGGTATTACAACATTTTAGTGGAAAAAAAGAAGTTGCTTCCTTCTTCAATGTTTCCACCAACAGAGGGCCAAATAGCTTCCAGTATTTGTGAAAAGAATTATTCAAGCGCTAATCCTTTTTAGCTTGCCTCTTCCATGCTAGTTTTGCAGTCAAGAACGTGAGTTGAGTTTCCTGGTTTTAGAGTTACGGACACCGCGGTGTAGTTAGAGGGGCATGAGGCACAAGAGGAGCTTCTTTGGCCTGCCAGGTTTCTAACTCATCAGAGTCACCCACGTCAGTTAACGTTTATCGAACATCTGTGTTCAGAGGCTGGATGGCACCGTGTTAATGCATCGTTCCCTGTACCAAAGAATTTGCTAACATTGAAGTCAACTATGAGAAAGGACATCGACTCATATTCTGCTTTTGTAAATTGTTAGGAAAGATATAGTCCTAATTCTTAATTGGAATTAGGTGTCTTATGCTTATTATCAATTAGAATTTCTTAGAATTAAGTTATGGGAAGATGATTCAGTGTTGGGAAATACCTAATGTCTCTTTTCTCATTTTCCAACTAAGATAATGATAAAATGTTCAAAGAAAGAAAAAAATACTCAGACATAATTGCCAAAAATGTCAAGAATTGATTATGTATACTTAAAGCATTTACATCATCTTCCGCACTGGTGAGAAGGGAGTAAGAAATAGTGCTAGAAATTGACTTAAGACCTATGCACTGGCTGAGAAATGGCATATTTCCAGAGACCAAAATACTGGCAGTGGATAGGGAATCAGCTTTACTTTCACCAACTGGTAATGATGATTATGTGATGGTGGCGGCGGTGGTGGTGGTGGTGCTGGTAGATAACACTTAGTAGGCAAATTGTCAGGCACTGTACAAATCAATTACCGTTCATTCTCTCGTGATTTTTATAAAAATCCCTGTGTGATAAGTATTGTTATTTTTATATCCATTTTACAGATGGAGAAACTAGGGCTTCAACAGGTAGTTTGCCCAATGTTACATAGCTTGTAAAGACAAAAGTGGGAATTAAAACTGGGGTTAGTTTAATTTATATAAGTCTTCCTAATTCCAGTACTGTGCTGATAAGCCTGCAGAACTTCTTTCTGTCCTAGAAAAATGCTTAATAAATATATGCTGAATATAAATCAATTTAAGTGTATGTAAAATATGTATAAGTATGTAAAGATTTATATAAGTATAAATACGCCAAATATAAAGCAATAGATTGATGGATTCTCTGCTCAAAGGTTGGTAGGTGAGGTGGGGAGGAGGTATAAATGTCACACTAAGCTTCTCATTTGGCACATGGAATAGGTTATCAGGCATCTTGAGATATATACCTGCCTCTTACCAGCTATCTCAGTGAAATTTGGTGGCTTGATCTCTTTGGCCTTCAGGTTAGACTACATAATCCTTATGGAAGTTATAACATGCCAGTTAGTTAATATGGCAAGCTGCTAAAAGCAAATGAAAAATGAGGACTGGCAATGGGAAGCTAAAGTGAATGAAACCATATCTTTTAACATAAACATTATCACCGCAAACAGTAGCGGGAATGAGAGTGTTAGTGCACAAGAATTTTGAGATAACTTGTAATTGAATTTCCGTTGTTTTATAAATAGTGAAAATGAAGCCCAAAGTTTGATAGTGTTAGCCTCAGTCAGTGGTAATTGGTGGCAGACCTTAGAACTCTTACTTAACATCTCTGACTGAATCCTGCAGTCTTCTTACTTTAATTAGTTTATTCACACAGTAAATACTGGTGACTTTTCAAAAAAAGTATTCTTAAACTGTTTTGATATGATGTTCAGCGATTTCACATAGTGACAAGAATACATAGACCAATTTCTCGCTCTTTGTGATGTAATTCAGCTTACAGAAGAGATTGGAAAACTTGAAGATAAAGTGGAATGTGCTAATAATGCCCTGAAAGCAGATTGGGAAAGATGGAAACAAAATATGCAGAACGATATCAAGTCAGCATTTGCAGATATGGCTGAGGAGAATATCCACTATTATGAACAGGTAATTAGTAATATTTGATATTGCTTCACTTTTTAAAAGGTTATCTTCTCTCTTACTTTCTATCTGTGTTGAAAAAGTCTATTAAGGAACCAAGCGTGACATTCAAAAGCTTCTTGGTGGCTTGGTGCCAGTGGAGTTGCCAGTTAATACAGTAAACCCACCCACTGAAACAAATGTGTTTATGTGGACGAAGGATGGTGAATTTTCCTTCTTATATAACGTGCCCTAGGTGCCTAATTTGAGTGGAGGTTGATGTGAGAAAGAATTATGCTACCATTTTGTTTTGTTTGTTTCCCCTCAGTTTTCTGTTTTGGAAGGATTTGAATTTTTCAAAAGCACGTGATAATGCTTTCTTATGATTCTCCTATCTTATGTCCTTTTCCTCTCCCTTTCCTATATAATAAAGTGAGGAAAGAAACAGTGGTTTGAAGGAGCAGAAAATCAGTTCATGCCCTGACCCTTATGTCCCTGCCCTCTCCACCTTGCCTTCTGTTGCTATTCAAAAAATCAACAAAGAAACATGCCATTCTTTTTTGCTTTTTCTGCTTTTCAAATGATTTTTTTTACAACTAACAGTTCCTTAAAGTAGTTGTTATTTTAAATAAATATTATACTGTCACTTTCTTGTTCTAGCATATCCTAAACATTTTTTTAGAAGGTATCTGTTAAACATACATCTTTAACCTTATCTCTGGCTGAATTAATGAATATATGAAATTGATACATTTGGAAAATTATTTTATGCTTTATAACCTGTAGTGCTTGTCAGTTTAAAGGTACTTTAAACTAAAACATTGTATATTTTGAAAGTTTAACTAACTGATAATTGATATCATTCAGTGAGAGTTCCTTGAGTCCCTGCTACCACCAGACACTGCGCTGGGCCCTGGGAAGACCGCAGCTAGCAAGGCAGACACAGTCCCTTTCCCAATTGGTTACAGTCAGCAAGGAAAACAATTAAAACAAAAGATTATAATAAAGTATAATAAGTTCCAGGACAGAAAGACATTGCAGGGGCATCTAACCTAGTGGAGAAGGAACGAGGAAGATTTTTCACAAGCTGTGTTTAAGCTGACACTGAATGATGAATAAGAGGTAGCCAGATAAAGATGTGAGAAAGAGAGTTCCAGGCGAAGAAAACACATGTACAAAAGCCTTGACATGAGAGAGAACGTGTTCAAATAACAGGTTCTTTTTTGGAGGATAAAGGAGTGGAGGTAGCGTTGAACTGAAGTGAGGCTTACAGGGGAGGAAAAAGTTTTCCTCAACCCTCCTAGGGTTCCTGGCTAGGTCTGAAAATTAAACTGCAAAGATCGATGAACAGGAGAAAACCATTGCAAATTGTTTTAATGTAAGTCCTTTGTGACACCACAGCCTTCATAAGGAAATGCAGACCAGAAGAGACAGACCTGAGTATTTTTATGCTAGGTTTCCTGAAGAGTGGGTGGTCATGTAGAGTTATGACAGGCTAAGGAGTGTGAGCGTATACGGAGGGTCTCCTGGGAGGCACCGCTCACATGAGGTTTTTATGACCTGCTTTAGGGGATAAGAGCTGGGGACTATCAAAAAGACCTTCTTGATTCTGACTCTGAAATCTTCAGCTTAAAATAACATGACAAGGTGCCATATTTTGGGATACCGTGTCCTGAACCCCATTAAGTTGGAGAGGGCCTTATATATTTAGTCTTTTATCTTTCATTCTAACTAAGGGAAATGGGAAATGCCACTGAAGAGTTTTCAGCAAGAAAGTGACAATATCTTTCAGACTTGCCTTTTAGAAAGATCACTCTGGTCATATGTGGGTCAGAGTGGAGTAAAGCGGGATGTGATGAGACTAGTTAGGAGACATTTGCAGCAACAAAGACAGAGATGCGAACTGACCTGGGGTTTCATGGCAGTGGGCTAGAGATTGGTGGACATATTCAAATAATTCTTTTTTTAGTAGGTGAGATTGGAAAGATCACTTTCTATATCTTCTTTAATTTTTTATTCTATATTAACAACCTTAAGTAAATTAAAGTATCTAAAAGGAATTTCCCATAAATCTCAGATTTTCAAATGACTTAAAACATGTCTGTTGAATAAAGCACATTTACTGCCATAGACTTTATTACCATTTAACTGTTTGAAGCCATAGAAATAACTTTACCCCCCCTTTACAATAGAACCTGTCCACAACGACATTACAGGGTTGTTATGACAACCAACTAAAATAGTCTACTAATAAATGCCTTGAAAATTAGAATATGTAATATATCACAAGTGATTATGGTTATCAAACATAAGTATATTAGGGTATAAAAATCATATGACAAATGGCACCTACCTTATTTTCCTTTAAATGATAAGGTCTGCAAAACTTTTCTACTTTAGGACTTTTTATTTTTTAAGAGAAAATGTTTATAGCCATTCCATAAAACTCCCAACAGAAATATTTGGGTTTTGACTGTACCTTTCACATAAATACACATTTCTGTCATTCTCATAGATTGAATTCCATTTGTACAAAATATTGTTATCTTAGATACAATTAAATTAGCATTATTGTGCTATATTGCCTTATCACAAATTTTGTTCTTCACAGCAATTTATATCAGTATGTTATATTTTTAATGCTTTCCTCCAAGTGAATTATATTTCTAGATGTTACTAAGTATGCATCAAGTGTACTGCATCTTGGATATATAAATTTGCAGGAATCATTGATTTTTTTTAATTATAACTTCAAAAGACCCCTGCAGTTCTAGTTATTTGTTGGGTTTCTTTCCTGAGTGAATAACTTTTAACTGATTTGGCACATCAGGCCAAGCATAATCAGGAATTTGGAGCTCTTAAATAATCAAGGCTTCCTAATTAGCACACAGACTGTATGGCCTGGAACAGTAACAGTCTGCTGTTATCTGTTAACTTGAGAATATTTCAGATACACAGGGAAGTGAAATGTTCCAGAATCTTTCCATTCCTTTTTAAAATTTAATCACAGTCTTATGGAGGAGATACTTTTTTTTCATCAACATTTGCAAAAATAAATCCCCAAAGGGGCTTGTTTCTAGTGCGACAGATGAAATAGGGTATAAACATTTGTCTTGGGACTTAACTTCTATGAAGTGAAATGGTCACAGCTTGTTTATAACAAAATCTAAATATCAAAATGATAGAGGAAAATCAGACTATAAATATAAGGTAGAGGTCTATATCAGAAGCCAATTATTGTCGTATTGAAATATACACACTTAGATGGGTGAATTTAGTTGGAGACAGTTGACACCAAATATAAAATAGATATCTACAAATAAACTTTACTAGATAAAATGAGATTATTCCCATTTTTCCTGTATGACCAATAATTAAGGATAAATTTATTGAGTCTTATTTAAAAAACAAGAATAACCAAACAATAAAACCCCAAATCCAGCTGAACATGGGTGAATAATTTCAAAGTACATTGGTACTCAAATAACCAAATAAAATTATTACCTGCTTTGATATGAATGGGTGCTGCTATCGTAAAATATGACATGTTGGATAAGATGCATGGACATTTTCTAATTGTTCCTCAGTAGGTACAAAAGGGTATCTGTTTTTGTTGCTATTGATGGTGATGATAGTGATGATGATTATGATGATGGTGAAAGATTTGAAAGGAAGTGATCCTTAGTAGGTGTTACAAATTGAAAGAATATATGCTTTGAAAGTTTAATTATAATAGTATAATCGTGGAAAGACCACATAATGTTAATTATTGCCAAATAAAGCAGTTTGTAGTTATATGAACATAATACTTAAAGTAATATAACATTTCTTTTCACAGTTTATTTTAGAATTATTAGTTAATGTATGGAAATTTTTATTTCATAGCATTTTATTTCTGGTTATAAAATTAACACATGCATGCTAAAAACAAACAACAACAACAAAAGCTAAGTATACTAACATATAAAGAAGGAATAAAGAGTGTCCATAACCTTTTCTCCTAGGTAGTGGTACATTTAATACAATTATTTGCTATGTTTAGATGTAAATATTTTTAAATGTCTACATGGCCCTTTCTGAATGTATCAATATAAAAATATATGGTTACTTATGTATTTTGTGTCATGATAATTATAGTGGATATATATTATTTTGAGTTCTGTATTTTTCATTTTTAAAATACTTTTCTATATAATATATTTTGTTAATATACCTTTATTAGTGAAGAGATTTACTAATAGTTGAGCGCTTGTTATTTTTTGCTCTCATAAATAATACTATTAAAATAACTATGAATATTAGAAAACTTTTCTTCGGATTTTAAGAAATAACCAGGTCAGAGGTCACTTCATTTCAAATTCTATCAGTGTTATTTAAAAAGGTCAGTTGGCTCGTGTAAAATCATTCATTTAAAATTCTATTAGCATCAAAACCCTTTAGTAAGCACCATGGAACATCCAAATTCAAATTCAAATTTTGTATTAGGAAGTTACAATTTACTAGGGAAGAAAAATAAGCATATATATTTTTCACTTGATTAATACAGCTCTACAGTATATCATTTTTTTGGGGGGGATTATAGATGATTTTTTATTTTAGCCTTTACACTTTCCTGTGTTTTACAAAATTTCTGCAAGGAACATGGGATTTTTAAAATATAATAAACATGTTTTTTTTTTAAGACAAACATACAAAAATCAATTGTATTTCTTTGTACTAGCAATGAAAACATGGACACAAAATAAA